AAAAAAAAATTTTTCACAATTTTACAATTTCAATTGAAATTACATTACAAACTGAAATCAAATTTATATGTATTTAGTTTGAAAAAAATCGTTATACTTTTCGATACAATGATTATATGTATTTAGTATAATTCATCCATAAATAACAAAATTTATTAAACAATAAATAAATTAAACTAATTAATAAGTTGAACAACAAGTAAATTTATATAATAAATTATTATGCAATGAATTATTGACGATTTAAGTATAACATTGGAAAGGCTATTTCTCAAGAACTGTATCATCCCCGAAAAATTTCACAAAATTATTAAATGCAATTTCATTAACTATTCATTCAAATATCAAATTATTTATTATATTATATATAATCAATTATTATAAGTTATATTTATTATAATTAATTCCAGTTTTAATAAACAATTAAAATAATTAAATAAGTAACTATCTCGGTTAAACTCTACACATTATATATATATATATATATCATACGTACACGCACACATGTGAAATTATAGACTGAAATCGTATTATTCGCCCATTCGTTACTCATAATTATTGTCAATTATATTATTCCGTAATGAAGTTATCCCGCATACTGCGTTTCCAGCTCTCATCGGGAAAATTCTATTTTTGCTCTGATGATCGAGTTCAGGTAACTTCATTTCCACGTGTAGCCCGTAAAATCGTTTTCTCGTTCTGCGTGGGTTAATTCCGCGGCACGTGCGTTTTATCTGGTCGGTCGCGCGACCGACGGAAGAACCGTGTCGCGTTTCAAATGAAAGCTTCCATCGGGAAGTGCACGCGTGTGTATATTTATGCACGTGTTCGACGAGCATTACGCGTGCATCGATTCCAACGCGTTCGAAACTGGTGGCCATTGGAAAATAACCCAGAGCTTTGCCTCTTCAAATTTTTCATCGTTCGTGACGTCGCTCGCATTCACGGTGTGTAAAACGAACACGTGCTCGTTCGTGTGGCACCGATTTCCCGCTCTGGAGAACTCGACGTAAAGGCTAGGAACGTCGCTAGTTGACATCGACTGTTTTCCATTGAAAAAGAAATTTCAGACAACGAAATTGCCAGCCAGACCTCGAATTTCCTTCTCGCGAAATTGTTTGATTATTATCGCTTACTTACCAGTTTGCAATTAAAATTATATTATATTACAGTTACAATTTATCACGTGAAATTTATCACATTTTCTATATATATATAATTATAATTATATAAATTATAAGTTATATAAAATAGATTCTTAAAAGAATTTGAATAATGTGTAATACAAATTGTATTATAATTAATGTACACGTGATAAATTCTTATTAATGTTCAATAGATAATACAACTATGATACACGAAATATATATAGTTATACACATACACACACATTACAAGTTTATTAGCTCTCGCCTCTGTTTTTTTATCAAACTTCATACATTCAAGAAAAAAAAAAAAAAAACAGCGAAAACTAAAGCTACGCGTTTTTGCGTTTTTTGCGAACAAAGTTCGAAGGATTTTCTGTCCCTGTAATTCTATATTTAGGAAGGAGCTTCTATTATTTTTCGAAATAAAAATAAATTTAATAAAAATTAAACAGAATTCGAAAAAAATTAAATGTTATGACAGAATATAACTGAATATCGTTCGAAATATCCCACGTTCCTTTTTATCCTTTCATCTAAAATTTTTATCCACATATCCATTGAAATTTAAAATGAATTCTGTCATTGTTGTGAATTACTCTTGCTTATATTAATTACATTTGTTTTTTTACCAAAGCAATGTTCAATTTTTACTGTTAACGTAAATTTGATTTGCATCATCAGCCATCAGTATATTAACCACATACATCATTATAGTATTACATATACTTAATTGTATTATTACTTCTTATTGAAAACTAAAATATTATATATAATATTATATATAAAATAAATATATTAATATATCATATAACATATTAATTATATATTAATTGTAATTGATTAATTTAATAAAAACTAGATATAATTAATATATCGATTCGATATTAATTACATTTAAGTTTTCATTCGTACCGTCAACATAAATTTCGTGTATAATATCAATCATTGTATCGACTATATATATATAATTATATATATTGATTATATTTACTTTTACTAAAGTAAAACATTTGATTAATATTCAAAATATTTGTTCAAAATATTTACAGCTTTTTTTTTGGCAGATATAAGAATCAGATTAACAGTGAGATTTTCAGCAGACATAAAAATTAGAATAGTGATCGAATGTTGGAAATTATCGATTAATCCTGCCTCAGGCACGAATAACGCAAATTTTGCATCCTTCTCATCCCTCAGAGAACTTTCTCAGCTCGGACAACAACAGCCGAGCTTCAGTGAAAAACCACTCACCCGATCTTCTTCTTCACCATTCGGACCGTGTTATTTCAGATCTAGATTCTTCTCTGAAAGATCGTTCCCTCCTTCCCCGGGAGGACAAAGTTACTTCTTTCCTGAAACGCGATCTCCCGTTTGTTCCCATCGGATTCAGTCAACAAATCCCGTGACGTCACGCAACTTCCAACCAGAACAATTCGTCAACGAGAACACCATGTTGACGAGAGCGCCATTAACCCCGACTCCGTAGGTGTTACGGTGTTACGCAAGCTCTTTGAGTTGTCAAAGCTGGCAAATTCACAGGCGTTGAATGTCTCGGTCAATTACAGCGCGAGTAGTTGTAATTCAGAATTAAACGAAGCTTCACGGATAACACTCTTTCATGACAAGAAACTTGTGAATTTCACGCATTCGAGCAATCCTTCAAATTATAATTTGTTAGAAGAGTTCATCTAATTATAATACTGGGACATAAATCTTATAATTTTCTAATAAATCTAATACTGAGATAATTATAATTTTCTAATATGAATTATGATTTGTAGACATATATTATTTAGTATTTATATTATACGCGTATATATATATAATATGTAATGTAATAATATTATAATGTATTGCGTATATAATATGCTTATTGTCTATGTCTTCATTTATTAAAGAATTCTTGAACTAGTTGGAAAATTGCGGAATTTTCATTTTAATCTTTGCCGATCGAAGAATTTCTGAATTGTTTGAAATTTCCATTTTGACTCTCATCCATTGAGAAACTCTTGGATTTAGTTGAGAAATTGTGGAATTTCAATTTTAATTTCTGTTTATCAAAGAGCCGTTCAATTGATTGGAAAATCGTGGAATTTTTATTTAATTTACTTCCACCCATTTATTGGAATTTTAACGACTGTTGGACTTTATTAATGATCCCAGGAATTTTACCAATGTGTTCTGCAACTCTCACTTTTACGAGATCTCGAAGCGCAAAATTGCTAGGAAACTTGGACAATATATAGAATATTAAAGATTTAAGTATTCCATATTTTATCAATATTCCATCTTTTATGTTATAGTTTCAAAAGTATGAATAAAAATCTGCAATCTATCAATAACAATAATATAAAGTGACTCTTGGTTAATATTTAACTAAATATTTCAATTATTATAATTTTGCGAAAAGGAATTGTACAGCAATAAACTTGAGCTCATTTCAAAGCTCGGAGCCTCTACTTTTAAGACGTATCGTTTTCCTAAAATTCATTTTATCCTAAAATGTTTTTTTACATCGCGTAGTGGATGAGCGAAGATACTTTTCTAAATATTTTAAATTGCCATGATATGTAAAAGTACTGAAAAATCTACAACTGAAGATTAAAGATTGAAGTCTCCTCAGAAAAATTAACATGATCTTGTCTCGCCATTTCATTTGAATTTTGTGTGTCGAACTCAGAAAATCAGAATGTTCGTTTTCGACCTCGAAAGTTTCGAAAGTTTCGAATGAATTGACGAGAAAGAAATATCGTACAGCAAATCCTCAGGTGTCGTCGCAAAGAGAAGCTTTCGATATTCGGACCCATTGTAGATTCAATCGTGGAACAAATTTTTCAATATTTTTTACATGCTGCAACATTTTATAGCGATCGACAATTCGAGAAGAAAAGTCTCGTAAATTCATCATTTGCCACGTAGTGTGAAAATATCCTAGAACAAAATAAACATAATACATTTCGAAGGTTTAAAGCGAGTCCAAGTTTGTCACAAACTTTCTTCTTACAGAATCTTTTTATAGATATTCAGATTTCGCTATTCCGAAGTCACGCTGTTTCTTCTCTCAATAACACACACACACACACACACACACACACGTGTGTGTGTGCAAAGCAACCTCTGCACAGTGTTAGAGGAGGGAAGAATCAATTTCCTTCACGAAACTCGCGAACTCAACAATAACTGTCTCTCACAATGCGAATCTCCTTCTTTGGACTTATTCGTTATTATTTCCCAGCTTCTCTCTTTCTCTCGAATTATCTCTTCCTCGTTCGAGATCAAAATTGCTGGGAATTTGACTGGCGAGACGTCTGGAGAGAGACGAGGATCTGGATGGATCCCCTCGAATCGTGAGACATGTCGATTAAGAGGATTTCTTCTTCTGTTCCGTTGTAGCCGATGCTCGCTGAAACGAAACGTGGCGGCGCCGGCGGGGCCGACGAGATCGAAGAGGACGGAGTGGAGTATTACAGGCTCAGGTCGTTCTCCATAACGGCGAACGGGATCTACAACCTCGGCGACTCGTTGAAGAGCCGGCGCAGCAAGAGCATCAACAGCGTCACGTCCTCGGGGACCAGCTGCAGCAGCACCAGGGAAGCTAGGTTATTGAGGTGAGGATAAATCAGTCGAACGAGCCACGTGTGTGTCGCTGTTCGCCATTTCCTTTTCTTTAGAATAGAAGTTTCAAAGAGAAATCTCCTCTCCGAGAGGAGTTCGTTGACGGATGAAGTTGATTATTG